ACTTTATATATATACACACACACACACATACACACCCACACCCGCACCCCTGAGGCCCAGAAGGCCTCCATCTTTGGCATCAATCTGTCGGACTCAGCTTTTCTGCGTGAGACTGCGGCTCCTTTCTGTACATGAATTAAATATGGCGTCGGTCTCCGTGCTGAGTCCCAGGACGTTCACAGTACCAGTACCGTGGGGGAGGAGGGGGCCCTGCAGGAGACAAAGACCCTCCAGGGCTGCCCCTCAGGCAGAGGGCGGGCAGGGCAGGGGCTGGTATGGGAGGGTCGGGCCTGGCCTCCCCTTGGCCTCGGTATTCGAGGTTCAGCCACCTGTGGAGGTGCCCTTGGGGACGCAGCAGGCAGGCCAGGAAGGGGTGCTGGGAGGCCTTTCTCCAGGGGCCCAGGCCCCGCAGACTTGCAGCCCCTGTGCTGGCCCACCCCACCTTCCTCTACCTCGGACTGACCATTTACACTCGCCTTCTCACAGCCACCCTCTGGGGCGGCTGGTGCCAGGATCGGGCGGAGCAAGGACAGGGCCACAGGGACTGGGAAGGAGGGCAGGGAGGCCGTGCCAGGCCCAAGGAGCCAAGGCCAGCCTGGCACCAGTGCCGGGGTGACCCTGCCTATCTGGGTGCTGTCCTCAGGACCCTGGCCCCGGGCTGGCTTATCAGCACGCGGGTGCGACAAGCAGGAGCTGCTCGGGGAAAGGTTGGGCGGTAGGAGCTCGGGTCAGAGCGCCAAGGGCAGCGCGTGCTCCCACCTTCCAACGTAAGGCAGTCTGACCCCTTCGGACCAGGGAGACGGTGGGCGGCGGAGGCACAGGAGTGCCCCTGGCGGTGCCAGGCCGCCGACTCAGCGGGCCTCCAGCAGCATACAGGGCCTCTGGCCCGGAGGGGAAATGGGAGCAGGTGGGGTGACGGAGTGGGGATAGGCCGACTACTTCCCCTGTGGCCCTGGGGGCCCCTGCCCCTCAGGTGCTTTGGCACACAAACTGGCACCCAGGATTCCAGGGTCCTGGAAAAGATGCCATGTCACTTCCTGCTCTCAGAGGGGAGAAGGGAACGAGGGGCCCAGAAGGGAATCTACCAAACTGGTGAGACAGGCAGGCCCTGGGGGAGGCATGTCCAGGGCACCGTGCTCAGCCCGGCAGCTGGGTCCTCCTGGCCCCGTGGGCCCCATGCTGGTGCCCAAGGGCTTTGGGATGGAAAAGCGTCCGGGGTCCTTCCTTGCCCCTCACCCCCTCCCAGGGCAGGTGATGGAGGGGTTGGTGTCCAGGCTGAGGCCACCGGGGAGATGTGGGGAGCAGGTCAGGACCCAGCTGTGGCCAGCAGGGCTGCCAGAGGTCTTCCGGGCCGGCCTCGCCCTCGATCCTCCGTCCTCCGAGGGCCGCACAAGCCACCCTGCCTGCAGCTGCCCAGTGTGCCTCTCTCCCTCCGGCCGCAGTGGGCTGGGCGCAGCTCAGAAGATGCTCTGTCGCCGGCTCTTCCCTCGTCCTGGAGAACAGAGGGGACTGCAGTGAGGCAGCCGGGGCCGGAGGGAAGGGCGTGCTCCAGAACGAGGGGCAGGGCGAGTAAGGGCACACACTTGGTAGCCGGTCAGTCCTGGGTTCAAATCCTGTCTCCGCTACTTAGGAGCTGCATGCAACTGAGACTTAACCTCTTCACAGCCTCCGTTGCATTGACTGGGGAGCAGGAATCGTACCAACTTCAGGTGTTTTAGGGATTAAATGAGTTAATGCATGGAAAGTGCCTATCACTTCCAAGGCCACCAGCTGTTTCCGAGACCAAGTACAGCTCTCCAGGGTGCAGGCTAGTTGGAGAGCTCAGAGCTTGCAGAGAAGCTCAGAGAGCACATGCCTTCAGGGCTGTGAGAGGCAGCCAGTTC